TTACATAAAAGGAAATTGGAGGTAAAAAGATAACTACAGTAATAGATTTACTGTTTTTAGCCTATGTTATAAAGACAGAATGTCTCAGGCAAGATAGAAATAGGACAAAGAGAGAAGGAGAGACAGATCGATAGCCAATGGCCACTCCTTGTCCGCTGGGCAGGTAACAATCAAATTAAACTGTGGATAATGAAAGCCAGGATCTGAAAGCCCCAAAGCAGAAAATCCTCTTTTCTAGCCAGTTGTTACGAGTTTATTAATAGGAGGGTGATTAACATCGAGACTGACCCATGGGCAAACTTGCCCATTAATGGTTTTGAATCATATTATCCATTAAGAAGATCGATACTGATACTTATACAATGTGGGGTCAACTATTCCCTTGCCAAATACTTAACTTGTCCTTATAACCTCCTAATTAAAATTTTTTTCAAGTAAAATTAATATATTAAATAATCCAGGTAGGCCAACTTAGTAAAGAGAAGTGAAAATTAGCCATCTCTCTGCAGAAAAGAAAACCCATTTATATTTTAATGTGCTAAATACAGTACCATTTGTTTCAGAGGTGTGAGCCATAGCCAGATCATCAGAGTTTCCTGCTTTTTAAATGTGCAGTGCCCCAGGTCTCTTCCCAGACCTCCTCCTCAGTCTTTAGGGTCCTAAGGTCTATTTGTCATTGTAAGTGGCCTTAGAAACTGGGTAGCCCTATCGGTATTGTGGACAAAGCTGAGATATTATTAGGTATGCTGGGGCTGAATGTTAGTAAAAGTTAGAGTTGTGATGTGACGTGGGTCTGCTGACCCCAAATTCAACAGGCTTGTCACTTTGCTGTCTAACCTTTATTTCATGACTCTCCTCAAACTCAAAGATCCAATCTAAAAATGGGCATCTGAGATGAATATGCACTTCCCAGATGAAGAAATATAAATGGCAAATAAATGTATGAAAAAGCTCGCCGTCATTTGTTATTTGAAAGATGCAAATTACAATAACACTGAGATTCCACCTCACCCAGCAAGAACAGCTATCATCAAGAGATCAACCAATGGCCAATGCTGGAGGGCTGTGGGGAAAAGGAACCCTTCTCCATTGCTGGTGGGAGTGTAGAGTGGTGCAGCCATTGTGGAAATCAATGTGGAGATTTCTTAAAAATCTAGGATTAGAGGTTCCATTTGACCTTGTTATTCTCCTTCTGGGTATCTTCCTAGAAGATTTAAAAACATCTTACCACAGTGATATACGTGTGCCTATGTTTATAGAACCACAATCTGTTATAGATAAATCTTAGAAACAATCTAAAAGCCCATCAACTGAGGAGTGGATAAAAAAAGATGTGGTTGTCTTATATGGCAGAATATCACTCAGTCAAAAAGAAGGATAAAATTGAGACTTTTATAGGTAAATGGATATAACTGAAGACCATACTCATAAGTGAAATAAATCATACTCATGTGTAAACATCATATTGTCTCCCTGGTGTGAGAAACTGAAAAAGTAAATAAGACCCAAAATGCACAATAGATACTGTGAAATAGGAAGACATTGTTCAAGAGGACAGAGGAACTAGGATGGGGGAGAGGGGAGAGGAAGGGAAAGGAAAGAAAATACAAGATAGTTACGCTACTAGTTTCTCTTAGTCCATTGAAAAGAAAGGTTTGTACTAATGTTGTTTGGAAAAATTTTTTAGGCCAAAACTTGTACTCTGATTAACTACTTTAAAGATAACAAAACTCAATGTATTAACTATTGTTATTCTCCAGTTATTCTGTTACAAAATTTTGTTTTACCTTTTTTCATAGAATCAAAAAAAATTAGAACTACTAAGAAAATAAAGAACACAAGCTCAATATGCCTTGGGCTATCTGAGGATGCTCATTTGCAGAGAGCTAGGAGTAGGAGAAAAATTTCTCCAACTTCATAAATGTGTCCAGGGTAACCCATTCTTGAAGAATGAGAGGGTAATGAAGCTTGAAAGTATCTTAAAATCCATGCTTTTCATGAAAGATGGTCGGCATCTACCATGGCCTCAGCTATCCAGGAGGCAGGAGGATCACTTGAGCCCAAGAGTTTGGGGCCACCCTAAGTAACACAGTAAGCAAGTAAGACCCCATCACAAAAGCAAAACAAAATTAAACCAAACAGAAAAGGTAAAATATGCATGCTTGAGCTTTTTAAAGAATGAATGGAAAGAACTCTATGAAATAAGAATAGAAGTTTATAAAACCAGGACAGCTTTAAATACAATTAGAATTACTGAAATGAAAAAATTGATGAAATGAAAAACTACGAAATTGAATGAAACATAAATTTGAAGCGGAGAAAAAACAACAACACAAAAGGAATTGGTTAAAACTATTTTTCTCTCCCCAAATGCATTAACACTGAACTCTAGTTCAGTGGAAGAGGTTGTTCCTACCATTGTCAGGCATGGCGTGGAGCGAGACAGCTGGGAATCTGAACTTGGTAACAGCCAGTGTAGATCTGTATTGCTTTAGCAGAAACCCTTTAGGGTCATGTTGTTATTTGAAAATTTATAATTTTAACTTTAGAAAGTTAAAGTGATATACATGTGATATATATATATATATATATATATATATATATATATTATAACATTTCCTACTAGGTGGGAGGTGGGGGTGGGAGAGAGAAAACCATAATCAACAACATTAACAATTCGCTGTAGCCCAAATATATGAAATCGTGCGATAAGTATATAAAAACTCTAGATAGCTTTTGGTCAACCTGGGCCAGGTTTTCTGGGCAAAGTTGATTAACCATTTAGTTTTCAGAGCTTTCTGGATTTCAGAATTGCAAATCACTACCAGCTAAAGGGAAAAAACCTCCAGAAAACACAAGTGTTGCAATATTAAGGTGTAGTATTCGTTTGTCTCTGTTTGGGTTTTGTGTTACAGCAGTCATAGTCATAGAAATAGTGACCACTGACCAGGCCAGAAGCTGATTGGATACAGGCAAGTAACAGGAAGAAAGTGAGGCTCTAGAGGCAGAGACAAAGCTGGGAAACCCCTGGGGAGGAAGCTCAGCAACAGGAAGTAATGGGGGGGGGGTACCTGAGCGAGGGGCAAGTCGAGGGATGGGTGGATTCTAAGGGGGAACCGTAAAGGCAGGTGGGAATAATCAGGATAGCCTGGCCGTGGGAATGAGAGAGAGAGCTGCAGAAGAGAACTCACAGAATGAGAGGACTGGAAAGTAGAGGCAAGCAAAGAGAGGAGGCTTTTAGAAAGGAAGAATCCAGGAAACATGAGATGAGAGTGAGCAAAGGAGCGGCAGAAACTGTAGGGAGAGAGGGCAGGTGGTTGTCTAGACAGACGCCTGCAAAAGTGAGGGGTGGGCACGTGCTCAGGAGATGAACAGAGCAACAGCCTCCTAAAATATGCAAGAGGCTACGGGGATCTAGATCATCTCGCCCTGCGGTCAAACACCAGAACGCATTCCTTCTGTCTGTGCTCTGCTGTCTGTTCTCCAACCTCGTTTTGACCTCTCCCCCTTCCCAGCCTTTTATAGTCATTTTTCTATATTCAGATTGACTTTTTCAGCTTCCGTATATGAGAATATGTGGTAATTGACTTCCATGCAAGAGAGGAGCAGAGGCTCCTCTGATGCTAAAGTAGATGGAGAGATGCTAAGTAGCTGGATTTGATCAGTGCATGCTGTAAACATGTGTTAAAATATTACACTCTGCCTTATTAATAAATCAATACGAGTTAATAAAAAGTTCAAAAACAAAAATAATCTGGGAGAAGTGACTTTGAATGCTCTCACCATGAAGAATTGAGAAATACTTGCGTAGATAGATACGTTTACCCTGATTTGGACATTACACAGTGTATACATCATATGCTCCCTCATAAATAGGAACAGTTTTTATAGGTCAATTAAACAAGGAAGTACAAATTAATGCAAAAGAAAAGAGAAATAACAGGGGGGAAGCAGAGAGGCATGAATGGGAGCACAGTCAGGGCCCCCAGTAGAAGGAGGGCTGGCTGCAGGCTCAGGATAAGACAGGAGGCTGGAATTTCAGCCATCGTGGTGGACGTGCTTAAAGGCTATAAACTTCACAGTAGGATGAGTCTTACTACTGCAATACCTTTCTGTAATTAAAACTGTCAAAATACTCTATCAGCGAGCCTTAAAACCATGACTTTATTTTGGGTTTGGGGCACTTTTCAGAGGCATTTGTCAGTGTGCCCATCATAGCAAACTACATTTGTGTACTAAACATTTGGAGGTTCTATCTCACCCCTGAAAGTGCAGGGGAGAGAAAATGACACGATAATGATACAATGGACCAGACAGTTAGTTTTTGTTTCCAGATAATTATGCCTCTAATTGTACTATCATCCTTGTGTATAACAAGCACATCCATTCTACCTGGTAAGTTATATATTCCAAATAAGTAAATGAAGCTGTTTGGGGTCCTTAAATAGATACTTGCTCCGGGAAAAACTCTCTGCTTTTATAGTCACATAAAAATATGCAAATTCATTCCTCATTAATTGAATTTTATTTGGGACACTAGTCCCAGGACAAAAATGTGTCATTTTTCAATGTCCACATATCGGAAAGCCCTATGAGTCGAGTGGCAGCCAATTGTGTCCTGTTTATTTGAGAGTCTTTAAAACTCCTTCCCTATGACTAGCCTTCCTTATTCCCAGTGAGATGAACAGCGAATAAACATCTTTTGAGAGATACATCCACGCATTTAGACATCACACACCCACAAAGCGTGAACTTCCGTGTGTCTGACTGGTCCCTCTTCCCTCACAGCTGGCTCCACTTAGCAGCAAGCAAAGTCTGTCTCATTAAGTGGTGCAGCCTCAGCCCCTCCAGGTCAGGAGTTTGAAATATAATTGATTTTCACACCTATTGGGAGCGTGGATCTAACTGTGTGAAATTAAAATATGGCTGGAAAACCATGTTTCTCAAGTCAGCAACCAAGCTGAACTGACATCACTTTGGAAAAACCATCCAGGTCACACCTTGAACGTGGCCATGAGGGGGCAGCCAAGTGCTGTTCACTGCAAAAAGCTGCTGCCCGTCTGCTTCTGGGAAACCTATTTTTTGAAGGTTAGCAGATGAGTTCAGTTAGTAGCAATTGGTAGTTACCAAATACACATTCAGTACTTCACTAATTTCTTATATGAACCCATGAGTTTCACTTTTAATATTGCCCCATTTAGTACCTCAAAAACCTTTTTTCTAAAGGTGGTTAGAGGCTGGTTTATGTACAATAATAATGAGACGGTATACATAGTTGTCATTTTTTTTTAGATTAAGACAGTCAATAAATTGGTATTATCCATTCATTAGGCACTCCGAGGTAATTATGACTCAAAGAGAGAGGAAAATTTCTTTATATTTTTAATAGCCTGAGCTAAGAATCTATCTCAAGTATTTATTTAAATATAGAAAGTAATCTTTAGTCTGACAAAATTCAAATACACTTTTTAAAGTTATTATTGGGAGCCCTACCATTTTAACCATCTGTAATTTTATTGTGAAAAAGAAACGTTTTACTGATTATATAGCCAAGACTTGGGAGGAGGCTAAGGAGGAGAGATGTATAAAGCACTAATATATCTTGTTTTGGAAAGGACTCATTTTAAATATAAAGATTAAAGTTATCAATCAAAAGTAAATTTCCAAGCAGCTATAATTAATAGACATTTATTAGATTATATTGTGGATCTGAAACTTATATTTACTTAGAAACTTAAAAAGATCTATTTAAAATTTCTTTCTTTTTGGTTAGAAGAATTTCATTGCATAAAGGAAAACTGTTACAGATGTAGTAATAGATGGTTTTCATTTTATAAAGTGTTTAAGCAAAATAAATTTAATGTATGTCACAAGGGAAAGTATAGTCTTGTAAAACTGGTTAACTATAGTGACAGTCCTGTACATTAAAGCAATTTTTAAGAGCATGGATGATCTCTACGAAGTATTTAAAGCTACTAACCTGCCTTTAAATTGTTTGTCCTTAAAAACTCTATAAAATCTAATATTATAAGCATAGATAGAAAATGAACTTCTGAGATTCAAGACTTTAAAGAAATAGACTGCTTTCTACACCAGAACTTCATGAAAGATGAGTCCACACATTGTCCTTCCATACAACTAGCTTTTTGTGTAAAAGAGAATAAAATACAAAATAAAAATTGTATTAAGTGTATTACAGTAAGACATTTAAATGATTTGAAATGAAGATTTAGCATCATTGACTTGAAACTGTTTTACTATCATTTCAAATTCAAAATACTATTAAAAAATTTAAAACTCCTCTAAAAATGTTTTGTTTGTTAGACGTCCTTAAATATTGTATGTATAATGCATTTATGTTCATAAACACTGCATTTTACTTAAAGATCAAAATAGTGTCAGAATTCTTTTAATAAAGTTATGTATTTTATCACCTTAAAAAGGCTTCCTCAGAAAATAAAAACAATTTCAACTTACAACATTTATTCTTAAAGTTTAAACAAAAATCTTTAAAGAAAAACTGTGAAATAAAATTAAAACAGATAGATTTTTGGACAATAATGATAATAAATTCAGTATATGTTGGGATGCCGAATGGATTATTAAAAAGTGTACAGGCTGCAACCACAACAAATCTCTTTATTCAAATCCAGGTAAAAACTTAAGTTTAATTTTTTTGTCAGCTACACAATAAAATGTATTTGAAAACTAGGTATCTGGCTAAAATTGAAATTTCTCAAAACTCAAAAGAAGATTATCTACATAGATCTATTATTATAGATTTTTAATAGTCTTGTTTTTTAGAGATTAAAAACTCCTCTTAGGAGGAGTTGCTATTCTTTAGATTTGTCTTTGGGTTTGCAGCTCCCAGGTTATGTTAACAACAAAACAGTCTCTAACGATTACATCTATTTTACGGACATATTCCAACAGGTTGAAGTTTTGCAAAAAACATTCAGATGCTTAACTTCCCTTACATTTTAAAAACAAATACAAAAAATATTTTCTCTCCTATAATTGATTTAATCAACATTTTAAACACATTTCATTTGTAGCTTTAATCACATAGAGAAATAGGTTTGCATAAAAAATTTTCATCCAGAAACTGCCAGGCTGCATGGGGTTGCACTTACTGATAATGACAATAAAATGAAAGCTTCATATCTATTTTTTCAGACATTGCAATGAGCCTGTTGGAAATGCCACAAAACTAAACAGATCTTTTCTGTTCTTTGGGACTCGTACTCGTTTAAAGTAAGAAAGCAACAGACTTACCTGTGGCATCCATGAGAACGATGAAGTGAAGTAGGAGAAACATTGCAGTGAATCTGAGGCTGAGAGACATTAATATCAGAAAAATAACAATAGGTTTACAGCAATTGAGTTATTAGAGGGAGCCTCCTTACACCTCGGAAGGAGTTTCTGATATAGTACTGGGGGTGTCTCCCATGTGTCTGAGCATGCTCACAGCTAAAACTTCACTGGCATGAGGGGAAACAGACTCTGGTCACTCTGCAACCTGCCTTTTTTGTTCTTTCTTTTTTTGTTTTATTTTGTTTTAAATGTACAGTTGTGTTCTTGGTCATTCATTCACTATGGAGTGTAAATGGATATATAAATATGACTTTAGTATTACTAACCAAAACTTCTTGATCATACTTGTTTCCTTTCAAAGCACGTAGAGCAGTTCTCACTTATTTTAAATCCAAACATAGACATTCTTAAATATGAAGGGGTGTAGATTTAGGCTATGAAGTGCTTTACAGGCGTGTTTTTCATGCAATCAGCAAACAACAAGAAGATACTGTCAAATACACAGAGAACACCTACTCCTATTCAAATGCACTTAAATGTTTTCTAATGGTACACAGAATGATAGCAGTATGTAAAATACATGGCCTTGTGTTCAAGGGTTACTTACTGTAAAACCTTTACACAGCATTTTGAGCTGCACATGACTCCTCCATAATTGTATTCCTATTTCAAGTGGATAACTGTATCCTGGCCTTCAAGTCTGTGTTGCATGCCTACTAGAAAACATTAATTGTGACATAGTTCTTCTATCTTGAAAATAGCTTCATAAGCAGCATACGCTGTGCAAGTTAAAGCACCGAAAGGAACTCTGGTTGTAGGATTCAGCTGCTCCCAGTGTAATAGCAATGACCGCTCCATAAAAAGATGTTGCGTTGCCAGATTTCCTTGTCAGATGTATATTTTACTGATGGGAAATATCTATGCAGAAAACAGTTCGCAGCCTGACTTGGACAGAAGATTTTGCAGTGAGCGATGCAGACACCTCATTTATAGTTATTAGCTGCATTCTAACAACACTGTTTGAAAACTGTCATCTGATGGCTGCCTGTTGTCATCATAAACCACGAACTGGATTTTTCTCATTCTTTCATTCTGGCCTTTGCAAGAATAAGGATTCAAATGAAACTTGAAATACAAGTATATGTTACTTATCACATAAGGTCATCGGTTCTCTTGGGCAATGGGTTAAATTCTGTACGATATCTTCCAGATACATTTAGGTGCGTTCTCGTCTCATTTTTTAAACTAAAGGAAAAAGCAACAGAAGGAATAATAACAAAAATGAAAAGGAATACTTGAAGGTCTGGTCTTATATTTCAAGCAACTTTCCTCTTCACAAAATTTGAGCTCTTTTAGATTAAAAAATTCTTATTTTACTTCAAAAAAACTGGGCCGATTAGGTTTTCATACATCTTGTGTTTTGCTGCACTGATGGATGCTAGTTTCAAAACTTTGAGCATGAATTTTTAAATGCAATTAAATACCATGGATTGTCTAATACAAATCTATTTGACATTTAATTATATTGTCCACAAAAACAACTTTTGGAGAAAGAAAATAATGTCAAGATTTCAAAGAAATTAGTGTAGACGTCATAAATATTAAGCCTTCATAGTAGATTTAAATTGCTAAAAAGTTGAATCATTATCTCTTGTGGATTTTCAAAGTTAATCTTTGAAATATTAACACCAAAGGTTCAGAACTCAATAATTATAAATAATAGTTAAGAATATCCTTGGCTCTTTATTGGCTTTTAAAAACAGAATGTATAAGCATTGAAATACCATTTCATTTTATATATTTTGATTTATCTCATGTGCACATCCGGCCTTCTGAACTGCGGCTGAATGGCTGAAAAGTACACAGGGCTGTGATGTATGTGTTTAAATAAGAGTAAATGAATTCACTTGCTCCTTAAATACATAATTGGTAAGGAGGCTCCAGAGAGTGCTTTAGGCAGAGCTGAGACGGAAGACAGATATGCAAACTGGCTCATTACTAGATATTAACTTCAATGCTGTACAAGTGCTTTTTATTGATCTTGCCTGAATCAGCTCATTTCTGTATGCCAATCTCTTGTCAATAGCATTCATACTTTTGGAAATAATATTAAAACAACTCATGTAAATATATGTTTACAATTCAGTATAATTCTGGCTGATTCAAGGGGATTATTTACTACTGAATTACTAATTACTCAGTTCTCTGTGTGTGTGCGTGGTGGGGGTGTGAGGCAGGTACTTTCTTTGATTGTACTATAATATCTATGTAGGTCTTAGAAATCATTGTTAAGTATGAAGTTCTTAAATTAAGATTTTAACACATTTTTAAAATTGTGTAACTGGTTTTTTACAGGCTATAATATCTTGTCAAATTAATGTTTACAATCAAGGCATTTAATAAACTACCACTGTATTTAATGATTGTCTAACCTTATAAAAATCTATCACCTCTATTGACTGTATAATTTTTTAAATTAACAAAACCTTATGCGTTAGCAGTTTCATATCACTTTCTGCTTTCAGACAAAAGGACGTGCTGATCATAAATAAGCTGCATTATATAGTATATTTTCCTCAAAAAGATAAATTACAGCACAGTAACATCAGAACCCTAAACTTATAATAACAGGCCAACAATGAAAATGTTCACTTGAGTAATTGCCATACAATAAATCAAATTACAGTAAGACCTTAGTAATTCAGCTCTACAAAGTATTTGTAATAATTATGTGTAAGCCTTTCTACATGAGTCAACAGCAGTAGTTTATCATTTGAAAAGGTTGATATTTTATGTAAGTTTTTCAGCAGTGGTAGCAGATTTATTGGCACACTGCAGGCAGAGGCGAGCTGACTGAATCACACCATCTCATCTGCATTTCGTGTCTTTTAGCTGAGCAAACCAGTCCTGTCATAGGCAAGAAAGTCTAAGTGTTCTAACCCCAGTGTTCTAAATTTAAAATAATTTAAGTTATGCTCCATTTCTCTGGGAATTTTCACTCTTGGCAAGCTCAGTTATTAGGCATATAGCCATAAAATTGGAGTAAAAAATATCACTGAGATATCCACTGTCGGCAGTGCGGTAGATTAGATATTCTGAAAGGCTTTTTTACTTGAACATAATAGCTCCTGCATAAAACTTTTTTTATTGGACTTGCAATATCTTCAGAATAAGACAAATCCAATCTAAAGTGAAAACACAATACAAAACAAAAAGCAAATGCTGAAATGGTATTTGCAGCTCAGTAAAACTTGTGAATGGCAAGGCTGCCATGCAAACAAATGTGGGCCCCAGTGCCGTAACTTGCAGGCCGAGCCTGGAGTCAGGGGCCAGTCCCAGAGCTGAACCACAGCGTCCTGGAGAATCCCGCGGAGAACTGTGAAAGGTCACGTTCCCTAGCACCATCCAGAAGAAATACAAATTCCGAGGGAAAACACCTTCCATTTATACCTTTAGATTTTGCCCAGAGCATCACCCAATTATTTGCTAATTATCAAGGATCAGTCAGGCACTCATGGGTGAGAGTTAGCACAGAAACAATAGATTTCGAGCCCCCAAGGGCTTCCTATATGGAAATTCAGAGTTGCGTGTTGCAAAATTATTGTGAAGTTCATAGAGGAGATAGTCTGTGGCAAAGCTGGCTGGTACAAATAAGCAAGACTGTTAATGACAAGATCCCAGGACAACAGAAACTAACCCCCAGCATCTGTATGTGGTACTTCTCAAAGGCTCCCATGAGACGTGACCCCTCCTGGAGACAGAGTGCAGGGTTAGCGTTGTTTTTATTCTCTCCTGTTTTTGTTCAGCCCAAGTTCATTTCAGAGAACTAGTTCTTCCCTTACCCTGTCACCCCTCACCTTTCAAATAAACTTTTGGCACCATTTTGGGCTTGTTTTCTTCAGTTCTTTGTTCAAGTCAAGAAGGACCTGGAATATTTTAAATTGGTGAGCCATTTCTATTGGAACTGCCTGACAACAGAGTCATACAACACGTATGAAATAATGAATCTTTACCAAGAAGGGAGCACAGAAAAACTGGAAATAAAAAATTTGAAGGACATTAAGGTATTTTAAGATAAGCTTGAAAAGTCGATATACAGTTAATTGGAATCTATGAAGGAGAAAATATTGAGGCCCTCTGAGAAGTTGATGACTGAAGAGAACAGAATAGTGGATGACTATATAGAATTTGTAAGAATTTGTGAATTTAGGAAGAACAAATTCTACTAGGCAAGGCAAATAGAAATAGATGCAGATGTTTGGTTTTGAAATTTTACTATATCAAAGATACAATGCTCTGTCATGAAAGATGACTCTAAGGAAGAAACTAGAGAGAAAAGACATCTCCTGCAAAGAGAAACTTAGAATGCTGGTCGATTTGTCAACCAGAGACATAAAAGCCAGAGTGAGGGTAGAAATACTCAAAGTTCTGACAGAAAATAACTGATCACTGGAACTTTTGTTTCTAGAACAATCTTAAAGGGAATGAACCTAGCACAAAGTGATTAAAAAAAAAGCAAAGAACCAAAAAACAAAAAAAGGTTCAGACAAGAAGTTTACTGACATTTCAGGAAAGTGAAAAATCTGTTTAGTTATGAAGGTCAAACTGAACTCTCAGTAAATGGATTGAGAGACTAAGAATTATCAGCGTTTCCAGGTATTAATATTTCCAGGTGTTAAGACACACCCAAGTAAGGTGAACATAGAAGGAAGCAAGGCAGATTTTTGCACCTGTATAGAACTGAGAGTATTCTGACCCTGCACTCTGGAACCTTGGTACATGAATGCTTTTGTTTGCAAACAACTTTGGTTCACAAAAAGAAGCGTTTTGTAAAACTTTCTTTTGTTTGCAAATTGCATCAGGTGACAAACATGATAGCAGCCATCTTTCCCACACAAACACAAACATAGCCATTTTTCCAGAATTGTAGAAAAAATGAAGTCGTGAACTGAGGTGCCACTGTATACTGAGTCC